GTGAACAGTAAATTCAAAAAAATAGTAAGAAAATTCAAAAAAAATATGAAATTTTTTGGCATCAAAGAGACTCGGGTCTGCAAGCTGCGTGCAAATTTTTGTTGTGTTTGGACATTGGTGGGGCTTGTAGATAAAAAAACAAAATTTGGCTCAGGAAAAAACTTGGGAAAAAATGACTATTTTGTTTTTTCTTGCTAGAGCTCCTCGCATGTCATTTGATCACAAAAACTTGTAAGCACCTTGTGCACCCAAGCCACATTTATGCCAAAAAAATTCATATTTTTTATTTTTTTGCTATTTTATTTCAAATTTATTGTTCACAAGCGTGCAGATTAACTTTTTTTCCTCGCCACGAGCTCCTGGAATATCCAAATAGCACGAAAATTTGCACACACCTTGGGCACATGAGTATCTTCGATCTCACAAAATTTTAGATTTTTTAGATTTTTTTTGCTATTTTTTTCAGGACGGTCAAAGCTGTTTGACCAGACGGTAACGGTGCAAAAGGGCATTTCTATAAGGGCACCTAACGACGGAGGGGCAAATTTGAGCAGGCTTTCGAATTAGGGGTATATCTGATTAGGTGGTTCGAGTTAGGGACAAAAATGCAAATGGCCCTAGAAAAAATAGGAGAAAAACAACGATTACCTTGTGTCGTGACTTTCTTATTGCCAAGTGTGGCTTCAAAGGTTCTGCACAGTTTGTGTACCTATACCCTTGTAGATTACAATTTGAGCATTTGATTGTGGTCATTCTTACTTGAACACTAGACTTGGATGATTCATGTTTTCCTTTGCATCTTTTCTTCTGTTTTCTTCCACGCTTTGTTTCATACTCAGGCGGGTCTATATCAGGTGTTTCCGTTCTCGTTCATCCATGGGGACCTGGCACTGTATATATGAGATTCTTGTATGCCTCTTTGTACATGGGCTTCTTAAAGAAGTCACTGACATAATCATCTCGAAATTCTTTTGCTTTGTAGATAGCACAAACAGCATGCTTGCAAGGTATACCGGTCAGGTCCCATTTGAAGCAACCACATTTACTTTCGGTTAAATTAACTTCATAAGTCCTTGGGATATTTGTAACTTGCCATAGACCCTTCTTTGCACATACAGCTGTGCACCATCTTGCATTTCTCTTCTCCGACTCTAATCTTTCAACATAAGTAGGAGTAATTTCCCATTGGACATGTTCTACCCCTTCTCTCCTAGATGCATATCTGGGCATTAGTTTGGTCCTAATTGAACCAATCATGGTCACTATTGGCTTATCTCTGACTTTGAGAATGTAGCTGTTGAACACCTCACTAATGTTATTGGCCACTAAGTCAGTCTTGCAGTGTGTGTCAAGTGCATGACGTGCCTAATGTTTAGGTGGTATATTGCACATCCATTCCCATGCATCCTTATCCTCTTTTTTGAGTTCTTCCATGGCAACATCAAAGTCACACTTATCAAAGGCGTAAGCAGCATCATCTACTAGTTTCTTAAGGTCTCGGCCCTTGTACCCAGCACTTTAAAAATTTGCATATATGTGCCTAAGGCAGTACCTATTGCTAGACTGAGGGAATACCAAATGAACAACAGCTAGGAGACCTTTTTGCCTATCAGACATGAAGGTATAGGTGCCAAACTGACCTGCGGTACCACCTAGTGCATACTTGAGTTGATTGAGAAACCATGACCATGTAGCAGTATCTTCCGTTCCAACGACACCGAATGCGAGCGGATAAAAATTATTATTGCCATCTCGAGTTGTGACGGCAAGCACTTGTGCTCCATTACCCAACTTAAGAAAGCATCCATCAATCCCTATACACAATAAAAAAATTGGATAATGTAATTGACAAAGGCGAGAAATATTAAACGATAGAATAAAGAGGTGAGATATTTACCAATGAAAGGCCTACAACCATTCTTAAACCCTTCGATTTGCGCATGCAGACCAAAGAAAAGACCATGAAACCTTGGGTTCTTTTCAGGTTTGTTGATTGGACGGATTGTCATACATGGCATCTAGAACCAAGATTCTTTTCCATTACAGTTTGCAAATAATCTATGATACGTAGGTATTGCCTATCTTCGTCTCCTTCTACAGCTTCAAGAGCTTTATTCTTCGCCCTATACGCCATGTGCCTGGATATTTCAATTCTAAAGCGCTTGTGCACATCATCAATAAGAGCAGTTATATTCATGGTTGGATCACTCCTGATCTCATCTTCATACTCCTTAGCAAGCCAAGTGTTGTTGATCCTTGATGTATCGGTGGTAGTGCCACAAGTGTGTGGCAGCATTATCTGCCTAATGCAATGCGTCTTTTCTCCCTTTATTTGAGATGATCAAACCATGAAAGCACGAGTGCCGCCCGACTACAGCAAGCAACCACCCTCTCTTGGTTATTTTTTAAATATGTGAAATTTCTGATGTGAGCTATGTGATAATTCTCTAAAGCCTTCCTTAATTGTGTGACATCATGGAAACACAAGTCCAAGGCAAACTGCTCATGTGCACTGCTCTTGCTCTCATCATAGTATGTTCTCTTCTTCACTAGCATTGCTCCGCTCTTCCTCTTTCTCACTGCTATTTCTGATTCCAACACAGCACCATCATCATCGTCTAAATCTATTATCTCTTTATTGTCGTCACTACAACTATCACTAAGCACAAATGCATCCTAAATTGTGCCTGCGGCTGCCCTTTGCTTAACCTGCCTGATCTTGATTGCTTTGGCCTTCGCATTTTTGCTTCTTGCTTCCCTTATCATAGCTGCCTTGTCCACCCTAGGATCCTCAACCAATTCTACCTCATCAGGTACCGGGAACAATTCTTCAACATCCGTGTCCCCTTCTAGGTGAGCCTGCAGTACATCCTCGGCATCAGAACTTGATTGTTCACTGGAATGTGACTCATATACAAGGTCTTCGGAAAACTGGCATTCATTTGTGGAGATTCAAATGCATGCATCTCATCCATTTCTTCTCTTTGCTGGACGTGGCAACCCATGTTGAGCTGGTTTTACACAGAGTGTTCCAGATTCAAGTCAAACTGGGTGTTAATGGGACAATCTTGATGGATTGCCCTTGGTTCCTCGATGTACCAATCAGAAGGCCACTCCACGCTGGATGGAGGATTGGTGTTGCTCTCTTTGCTACTGCCATTGGATAAAGGATAATAATCAGATATGTTGCTGAATCAAAATTTATACCGACACAGGGGACAAGGCCTTAAACACATGTCAAAATCGAGCACAGAACCTAAGTAATAACAACACAAACGCCCCAAAAAATAGGATCCTAAACAAAAATACATCTATCGACGGCAAAATTTACACCCAAAATGTAGGGTTTCATGAGGGAGAAGAAGTCCTAGAAGGTAGGGGAGAAGATGAGCAGAGCCTGGGTGAGAGGGCGGGGGGGTGGGGGCGCTTACCCGACGATGGGGAACGGTTGGCTCCGCTCCATCACCAGCGACAGGATGGTCGTCGCCGCCGCCGCCTGTTGTTCCTGTGCGAGGTCGTTCCTCTCTGCTCGAGCCACTCTGTACGAGATGGTTGTGTGTTGTTTTATCGACATGGGCTTTCAGCCCATCTTTTTCTGTGAGTCGGCTTCCAGCCCACTTATTAAATTGTTTTTTTAACTCTGGTCTTTTCACTTCTTGGTCTAATATATGTTGGCTGATGTGGCCAGGACCCATTTGTCTGTAATTATGTCAATGCAGCCAAATACTAGATTAGACCTATATGTAATGTATTACACTAATATGTGGTGTTTTTCGCAACAACCCCATATAGTAGGTGTTTTGCGCAACGCCACCCCAATAAGTGGTGGTTTGTGCAATTCCCTCGTTTTTTCTCTGCATGTACCAGCGCGAAGACTGACACGTACTAGCACAATCATGTGCTGTAGCGTGCGGAGAGCCACGTCCACCAGTGCATCTAGCAGCCGATGTGGCCCAGTATTGACCATGGAAGAACTAACTGCACATATCTATTTAGTTTACCGTTTAATTGGGTTTTTATTTTTATTAGAACAATCAGGAGGTTAACTGCAATACTATCATGCATAATCTGTTCCAAATCCTGCCCGCACATGATCACATTTGTGGAACACAAAATCAACCTCAAATTATGCATCGAAACACGCCATTCAATAGGTAGTTTGATTACGCAGATCCATAAATTTTTATTAATAATCACATTTCTGTTGGGAGACTAGTGAAACAACCATAATCTCGTTTCGCCGTTGGGTATCAACTAACAGCTTATTCAGTGTCAATGATTCACGCGAGAGGCCAGGTTCTGTGCAGCGTGGAACAGCTTTGCGCCGCGCAGCCCTGTTGGCTCGTCCCTGATACGTCACGTCATGCAATTTACTACGCATTCACATCATTCCTCCTCACCTGTCATCTACCTCCACCCACCTCACTCTGCTTCTTCGCCGCGGAAGGGGAATCCACCAGAGGGACCAAGGGGGAGCAACAGCCCCCTCGCCGTCGAACTACTGGACGGCGGCTAGGATCTCTCTCCTCCGACGGGCCGACAAGTGTCGGGGGCGAGGGGTGGGCAGGCCCAAAATCATCCGGCCGGTCAAGGCGCATAGGTACTCCATTCCAATCCATTCACGATCTGCTGCAAACGCTAGGTCGCCATTGTTCTTAGTTTTTTTGCTTCAATCGATTAGGGTTCTCAAAACATTTTTTAGGGTAGAGAGGGAAGATGACTGGTTTTTTAGCGGGATCCAATCTGGTATGGTTGTCAATTGATTAGAGAACAGCGAAAAGTCGCCTGAAGATTGGAACAGTGATGGGGATGGTTCAGGTGGCTCCACCGGTTTGCCTGAATCACCATGTTTCACGTCCAGGCTATCTGTGCTCAAAGTGGGTTCAGTCATAAGCAAGTTTAGTGAATTCAAGCGCCAGTTAGTCAGGGAAATTGGATTCGATGGAATTCTTGAGCTAAAATCATGGCAGAAGATCAACCTGAAATACAACGCTTATCTAATGGATAGAGTCGATGTAGATTCAAGTATAATAAATCTTGAGGGCCAAGGTGTTCTTGAACTATGTGACAAGAACATGAATTATGTGTTTGGCCTCCCATGTGGCGATTCAACCATACAAGCCGAAGGAGTCGAGCTGTCAGCAGCTTGCATTGAGTATACCCGTGTGGCAGCATCGTTTAGTGACAGAGGCACCCACAGCCTGAAAGCAGCAGAGGCATACTTAAGCAGATGCATAATAGAATCATCTACTTAGTTAGAGTAGACTGCTTCAAAATAGTTTTTGTTATTTTTGTTGTTGGTCATGTGCTGGCACCTACTGCGAAGCACGATTATATATCCATTGATTGCTGGGCTGCACTGAATGATATCAGCAAGATAAAGGATTGGAATTGGGGAGGATATGTGTTGAAAAATCTGTTTCAAGCTGTCAAAAAGTTCAAGGCAGATGTTTTGAGAAGAAACCCAACCGTGCATATAGTTGGATGTCATCTATTTCTGCAGGTGTGTATTCGTGTTTTTCTTGATGAAAACCATTAGAATTTTTCTAATGAGTTAGTCGCACATGCTCACACGATTTTCCTGTTGTTGTTTTCATTTGCAGCTTTTTGTGCCTGATAGCCTCGAGCTGGGTGTTCTAAACAGGGCAAGAGGTGTAACCCCGCTTATAGGCTTGTATGACTATGAGTCGATCAAGAATATGGTTGAGAAAATTACAGTGAATGTTGCCCCGGGCGAAGTTTCCTTTCACGGCGCAGCGGTAAGCAAAACATGCCAAATCGAAGACATTTTTTATGTCAATTAGTACTACATCAGAACATGATTCTAACATGCGTTCAAATCAATAGGTGTGTAGCAAGCTCTCTATGAGAAACCTAATTGGATGCAGTCTGAAGGAAGTCTGTGCAACAAAAACACCAAAGCCCACGAGAGCGCCAAAAAAGGCAAATGCAGCGTGCACACCAATTCTACGGAATAGCTGTGCCAAAACCGGCCCGCAAGAGTTTTCAAATTATATACGAGCACGCTACCCAAGCATAGTATGTCTCCTAAAGCCATTGTCCATGTTCATCAGCTACTTACAATTTGACTGCCACCTAACCTTTTTTTATATGTATTTATGTAGTCAGCGGAGAAACTCGGTATACTTCTTCGGGAGCAGAATGCCCGTGGGCTAGCAAATATTACAGAAATACGTCAAGCGTTCTAGTCCAATATGTTCACTTTCACTGACAAGCCAATGACATGCATAGCAGATAGCTGCACTTGTTGCAAGGCGCATGGAAGCAAAAGGTGCATCTTGAAGAGGGAAGACACGAACACTGACCATGTACCTCGCATTGCATCAGTAGATCAAGCCCAATTCAGCACGCCTTCAGTAAGCAAGATTGGACCCCGATTACCAGCACCAGGAAACCACGAAGGTACATGATCAATCTTTTAAAATCATACAAACGATCTTATGGAACTTGGGCATCCCCATGACCCTACTTGATCTGCCTTGCCAGGCACCGTGTCGGCAAACAGTTCCGTGTCTAGGAAAAGAAATGGCAGTTTATCTTCAAGCATACAGTCAGGCACAACAAAGAAAATCTGCTCACGTGATCAGCAGGCTGTTGTTGCAGTAACCCCTGATATGTCTCCAACGTATCTATAATTTTTGATTGTTCCATGCTATTATATTATCAACCTTGGATGTTTTATATGCATTTATATGCTATTTTATATGATTTTTGGGACTAACCTATTAACCTAGAGCCTAGTGCCAGTTTCTGTTTTTTCCTTGTTTTTGAGTTTCACAGAAAAGGAAAACCAAACGGAGTCCAATTGACCTAAAACTTCACGGAGCTTATTTTTGGACCAGAAGAAGGACATGGAGTAAAAGAGTTGGGCCAGAAGATTTCCAGGCTGCCCACGTGGGTGGGGGGAGCGTCCACCCCCCTGGGGGCGCCTCCCTACCTCGTGGACAGCCCGGAGACCCCCCTGACTTGTTCTCGACACCAAAACCTCTTATATATACTAAAACTTCCAGAAAGAAACCTAGATCGGGACTTCCGCCGCCAGAAGCCTCCGTAGCCACTGAAAACCAATCTAGACCCGTTCCGGCACCCTGTCGGAGGGGGGGAATCCATCTTCGGTGGCCATCTTCATCATCCCGGCGCTCTCATGATGAGGAGGGAGTAGTTCTCCCTCGGGGCTGAGGGTATGTACAGTAGCTACGTGTTTGATCGCTCTATGTGTTCTTGATTCGGAACGATGTTGATGTATTGCGAGCTTTGCTACTATAGTTGGATCTTATGATGTTTCTCCCCCTCTACTCTCTTATGATGAATTGAGTTTTTTCTTTGAAGTTATCTTATCGGATTGATTCTTCAAGGATTTGGGAACACTTGATGTATGTCTTGCATGTGCTTATCTGTGGTGACAATGAGATATCATGCGATCCACTTGATGTATGTTTTGGTGATCAACTTGCGAGTTCTGTGACCTCGTGAACTTATGCATAGGGGTTGGCACACATTTTCGTCTTGACTCTCCGGTAGAAACTTTGGGGAACTCTTTGAAGTTCTTTGTGTTGGTTGAATAGATGAATCTGAGATTTTGTGATGCATATCGTATAATCATACCCATGAATACTTGAGGTGACATTGGAGTATCTAGGTGACATTAGGGTTTTGGTTGATTTGTGTCTTAAGGTGTTATTATAGTACAAACTCTAGGATAGATTGAACGGAAAGAATAGCTTCGTGTTATTTTACTATGGACTCTTGAATAGATCAATCAGAAAGGATAACTTTGAGGTGGTTTCGTACCCTACAGTAATCTCTTCGTTTGTTCTCCGCTATTAGTTACTTTGGAGTGAATCTTTGTTGCATGTTGAGGGATAGTTATATGATCCAACTATGTTATTATTGTTGAGAGAACTTGCACTAGTGAAAGTATGAACCCTAGGCCTTGTTTCAACGCATTGCAATACCGTTTTCACTTACTTTTATCATTAGTTACCTTGCTGTTTTTATATTTTCAGATTACAAAAACCTATATCTACCATCCGTATTGCACTTGTATCACCATCTCTTCGCTGAACTAGTGCACCTATACAATTTACCGTTGTATTGGGTGTGTTAGGGACACAAGAGACTCTTTGTTATTTGGTTGCAGGGTTGTTTGAGAGAGACCATCTTCATCCTACGCCTCCCACGGATTGATAAACCTTGGGTCATCCACTTGAGGGAAATTTGATGTTGTCCTACAAACCTCTGCACTTGGAGGCCCAACAACGTCTACAAGAAGAAGGTTGTGTAGTAGACATCAAGCTCTTTTCTGGCGCCGTTGCCGGGGAGGTTATCGCTTGAAGGTATATCTTTAGATCTTTCAATCGAATCTTTTAGTTTCTTGTTTGATCACTAGTTTAGTCTATAAAAGAAAACTACAGAAAATGGAATTAAGGTTGCCTCATATGCTTCATCTTTTTAATGTCTTTCGTGAAAATAAGGATTCCGATAATTGTGCCAAAGTGTCAGAAGAAGAATGCATTAGAATGTTTGGCACTAAATATTTTAATGATGAGCATGATTGCAATGTTGTTAGTACGAATTCCTTGAATATCCATGATGCTAATGATATGCAAAGCCACAAGCTTGGGGAAGCTATGTTTGATGAAGATGAAATTTTTTGTCCCCCAAGTTTTGATGAGAAAATTTATTATGTTGAAAGCATGCCTCCTATTTATGATGATTATATTGATGAAAGTGGATTTGGAGAGGTCGTGGCTTTATTTAGTGATGAATCCACTATTTTGGAAGAGGTTCCAATTGATTATGAGAACAAAGTTGCTATCTATGATGATTATTGTGATGACATGTATGCTATAAAAGAATAATGATAACCATGAAACTTGTCATCATGATTTTAGTTTTTAATTGGGTTATGCCTCACATGATAGTTATTTTGTTGAGTTTGCTCCCACTATTATGAATGAGAAGAATTTTGCTTATGTGGTGAGTAGTAAATTTTCTATGCTTGTAGATCATGAAAAGAATGCTTTATGTGATGGTTATATTGTTGAATTCATTCATGATGCTACTGAAAATTATTATGAGGGAGGAACATATGCGTGTAGGAATTGCAACAATATCAAGTTTCCTCTCTATGTGCTTAAAGTTTTGAAGTTATGCTTGTTTTACCTTCCTATGCAAGTTGATTCTTATTCCCACAAGTTGTTTGCTCACAAAATCCCTATGCATAGGAATTGGGTTAGACTTAAATGTGCTAGTCATATTCTTCATGATGCTCTCTTTATGTTTCAATTCTTATCTTTTATGTGAGCATCATTTATGCCTAGCTAGGGGCATTAAACGATAGCGCTTGTTGGGAGGCAACACAATTTTATTTTTGTTACTTGCTTTTTGTTCCTATTTAGTAATAAATAATTCATCTAGCCTCTGTTTAGATGTGGTTTTATGTTTTAATTAGTGTTTGTGCCAAGTAGAACCTTTGGGAAGACTTGGGTGAAGTCTTTGTGATCTTGCTGTAAAAAATAGAAACTTTAGCGCTCACGAGATTAGCTACCATTTTTTACTTGAGAGTGCTATTAATCTGATTCTTTTTGAAGATGATTAATAGACAAATTCCTCATGTACAACAATTTATTTCAGAATTGTTTGAGTTCCAGAAGTATATGTGTGATACAGATTACTACAGTCTGTTCTGTTTTTGACAGAATCCGTTTTCTATGTGTTGTTTGCTTATTTTGAGGAATCTATGAGTAGTATCGGAGGGTATGAACCATAGAGAAGTTGGAATATAGTAGATATTACACCAATATGAATTTAGAATGAGTTCACAACAGTCCCTAAGTGGTGATTTATTTTCTTATACTAACGGAGCTTACGAGTTTTCTGTTGAGTTTTGTGTTGCGAAGTTTTCAAGTTTTGGGTAAAGATTCGATGGATTATGGAATAAGGAGTGGCAAGAGCCTAAGCTTGGGGATTCCCAAGGAACACCAAGGTAATATTCAAGGACAACCAAGAGCCTAAGCTTGGGGATGCCCCAGATGGCATCCCCTCTTTCATCTTCGTTCATCGGTAACTTTACTTGGAGCTATATTTTTATTCACCACATGATATGTGTTTTGCTTGGAGCGTCATTTTATTTTCTTTTGCTTTGCTTGCTGTTTGAATAAAATACCAAGATCTGAAATTCTTAAATTTTAGAGAGTCTTCACATAGTTACATAATTATTCGACTACTCATTGATCTTCACTTATATCTTTCGGAGTAGTTTGCCATTTGCTCTAGTGATTCACTTATATCCTTTTAGAGCATGGCGGTGGTTTTATTTTGAAGAAATAGATGAACTCTCTGTTGGGGAACGTTGCAGAAAACAAAAATTTTCCTACTCGTTTCACCAAGATCATCTAGGAGTTCATCTAGCAACGAGTCATTGGATGCATCTACATACCTTTGTAGATCGCGAGCGGAAGCGTTCAAAAGAACGGTGATGATGTAGTCGTACTCGACGTGATCCAAATCACCGATGACCAGCGCCGAACGGACGGCACCTCCGCGTTCAACACACGTACGGGACGGGAGACGTCTCCTCCTTCTTGATCCAGCAAGGGGAAGGAGAGGTTGATGAAGATCCAGCAGCACGACGGCGTGGTGGTGGATGCAGGGCGTCACAGCAGCAGGGCTTCGCCGAGACTACGAGGGAGAGACGTAACGGGGGGAGATGGAGGCGCCAGGGGCTGGTGTCAAATCCCTCCTCTCCCCCTTCACTATATATAGGGGTGCCAGGGGGGGCGCCGGCCCTAGTAGATGGCATCTACTAGGGGGGGCGGCGGCCAAGGGGAGGTTTCCCTCCCCCCCAAGGCACCTAGGGGTGCCTTCCACCACATGGACTCTTCCATGGTGGAAACCCTAGGCGCATGGGCCTATAGGGGCTGGTGCCCTTGGCCCATCTAGGCCAAGGCGCACCCCCTACAGCCCATGTGGCCCCCCGGGACAGGTGGCCCCACCCGGTGGACCCCCGGGACCCTTCCGGTGGTCCCGGTACAATACCGATAACCCCGAAACTTGTCCCGATGCCCGAAATAGCACTTCCTATATATAATTCTTTACCTCCGGACCATTCCGGAACTCCTCGTGACGTCCGGGATCTCATCCGGGACTCCGAACAACATTCGGGTTTCTGCATATACATATCTTC